TGCCTCCACTCTTCGAGCTCCGAGACGAGAGGTACCGCAGGGGGCCCGCGGCAAAGGTGAAGTCGCAAATGTTCAGGTACTCGAGGGCCACAAAGAACGCATGCAAGCGGTCCAAGACGTCGGACTCCGCCGCGATCGCAGCCTTGTTGTCGTGCTGGACCACCTTGAGCAGATCGGAGGTCTTGCTGAAGCCCGTGGTCTGGACCAGGCGATCGCTGCGCGTGCGCATCTCGGCCACCTCATAATAGCTGACGGAGCCGTGCACCATGTAGTCGCGGTAGATCCGCTCCACGAACTTGCGATGGGGCTCCCGCATATAGGTGAGGATGACGTCTGGGTGAGCAGAGACGAACGTCTCCCGGAATTCAGCGTGGTCTTCACCTGCCATTTTAGCTCGCCGAGCGGCTGTATGGTCTTGAAGGGCTGCTGATGCTTTCCAGACGGCCGCCAGCAAAGTGAGAGACAGCTCGCGAGCGGTTGTCCGCTCCAAACTTTGTATCATCATTGACAATGGCCTTGAGCGTAGTCTTGGCCTGGGAGATGGTGTCCCCCAGCATCGCGATCCTCTCGATCGAGAGCAGGGAGGAGTCAGCCATGAGCAAGCGCAGGTTCTCTGGGAGCTTTTGCTTGCCAAAAATCTGACGAACCGCCAGATCAGGCACAGCGCCTGTGTAGGAGGTCTTATCCACCATCTCCAAAGTGCCGAGCGGGCTACAAAGCACAACAAGGCAGAGCGCCCAACAGGAACCAAGTCAAAGCTCAAGCAGCCAAGTGAAGACAAGAGCCACTGACACAAGACTGTGCGAAATTGAGAGCCAGCTTTTAAGTCGAGCAGACAGTCAATTACTGAACATGAGAGAAACATCCGGCCTAGCCTTAGCACAATGCTTGCAAAGTAGGCCAGGATCCGGCAGCAAGTGTCCTACATGCACACACTCATCAGCAGACAGTCGCTACCGCATGCCACGGCCTGGTAGTCTGCCTTGGACGAGCAATGGTACTTGTACTCGTAGCTAGACGCCGAGCCGTCAGGTATCTTAAGAAAGACCTCTGCGATGGGCAGTAGATCGTCGTCCCCTTCGTCCACAAGGTCGTCCTTGGAGATGCACTTGGGCGCGAACGCGTCCTTCAAGT